CGGTAGTTACTAAGGTCAGGCTCCTTCAATGCCAGACTGTCCCTCCAGAGCCACAAGTCACAACCCTGGGGCTTCAAAATGACACTACATTTTTGGATTGGGGATTAGGGAAACAGTCTGAGAGCTTTACATGATTTAAACTGATACCTAAATCAATTTCAAATGCTTGGTAAGGCCGAAACCGGTTTGGCTCAGTGGATAGAGCGTTGGCCTGCGGACTGAGGGGTCCCAGGTTCGATTCCGGTCAAGGGCATGTGCCTGCGGTGCGGGCACATCCCCGGTGGGGGATGTGCAGGGGGCGGCTGATCGATGTTTCTCTCTCATCGATGTTTCTGACTCTCTATCTCTCTCCCTTCCTCTCTGTAAAAAATCAATAAAAATATATTTAAAAAATAAACAAATGCTTGGTAAGGAATAAGCCATATGTCTCTCCTTCTTTTGTGATTCTGATTGTAAAGAATCTCTCTTGGGGAGAGCAGAAGAGGAGGAAGTATGGGCTAGGTGCTATTCCTTCAAGATAGGAGAAGAGGCCAGCAATGTGTGTACTGGCTATATCTGCAAGGGAGTGGGATGAATAATATAAAACAATATAGCTATCATGTATGGAGTGCTTACTCTATACATGTTAGCGGTTAGACATGGCTCTAAACACTTTTCATACAACAGCGGCCCTCACAACAACCTGAAGTAGTACTATTATTACTATTTCCATTTTACAGTTTACAAAACTGAGGCTCAAAGAGAAGGCACTTGCCCCAAATTACACTTGCTAGTTAGAAAGAGAGCCAAGATTTGAACCTAGGGAGTGTGGCTCCAGAAAAGAATAAGTTATGGGATGGTGAGGGCAGAAAATATAGAATCTATATCAGCACAGGCCAACAAAATTTTCTGGGGTTATGGAAATATTCGATATCTGTGCTATCTAATACAGGAGCCACTAGCCAGGTGTGAAATTGTCTAGTAAGACTTGAACAATGAAGTTTTAATTCGCTTTAATTTTAATTAACTTAAATTAAAATGTAAATAATCACATGTTGGCTAGTGGCTCCTGTGTTGGACAGTGCAGGTTTTTATTATAACAAGAGTCTATGCTAATGACCAACTCCAGGAATGTGTATGACAAGAAGTGCTACTCTTAATCCCTGCCCCATTGAGTGCAAGGAACCATCACTTTCTTGGGATGACTTCTTGAGCCACATCCAATGATGGTAGATTTTGGTTTGCAGGCTGAAAGGCAATCCAGGCACTGTCTGTTATCAGCTTTGGCAGGACAATGCATCAACCTGGAAGAAGATTGGTTGTTCCAGTCTTTTGTAATTTATTCACCCAGGAGGGCAATCATTTCACAACTTGCTTTAAGACTTGGTTGTGCTAGTATATTGCCCAAGACACTTCCCTATTTTTCTTGTAAGAAATCCAAGGACTACATCACCATCTACATCACCCCAATTCCTACATCTGGGTTACTTTCCTGGGTAGTCTTGCTATGGAATAACAAAGTTTCGAGGCAGCTCCGTTTCCTTTCCCTGCCCCCTCTATAGACACAGACTCTTTAAAGATCTTCCCTGTGATTATACCAATACTGATACCAGGGAAAGCAAGAGGAGTTAATAGCGCAATAAACAAAGGATGTTACTAACTCTTAAGAGCTCTTAAAAGCCTGTAATAACAGCTCTCTCCAGACTTCACTGCAACATCAACAGAGCCAGGCTATTCCTTTTAAGACTTAGTTCTATAGCCCTTTCACTAGCAATTCTTTAGGGCAGTGATGGCGAACCTATGACACGCGTGTCAGAGGTGACACGCAAACTCATTTTTTTTGGTTGATTTTTCTTTGTTAAATGGCATTTAAATATATAAAATAAATATCAAAAATATACATCTTTGTTTTACTATGGTTGCAAATATTAACAAATTTCTATATGTGACACGGCACTAGAGTTAAGTTAAGGTTTTAAAAATGCTGACACGCCGAGCTCAAAAGGTTCGCCATCACTGCTTTAGGGAGTCAAATCTACTCAATCCTCCTCTTTTTAGCCCTGAACCATAATGTTCCTGAGTTGTATATCCCTCCTAAATTATTACCCCAGTTCTGAATGTTCTTTCGCTTTAATTCCTACCAAACATTCAAACTCATATATGGAGCCCGCACCTACCATGTGTCAGGCACAGGGGAAAACAAGACACAGTCCCTGCTCTCAAGGGAGACCGCAGTCTGGGGAGGGCTACCACAAAGTAAACAGGAAATGACAACACAATGTGCTGAGTACTATTGCATGGGAAAGTGCAAGGTTCCGTGGGATACAACTATGATGGGGCACACAAAGCTAGACTTCAGAGGTCAAGAAAGGCTTTCTGGAGAGGAAGTAATGTTTGAGTTAAGATAAGAAAAAAGAAGAGGAATCCAAGTGATCGGGCCTACCTCTCTACATTTTAAGCTGTAGGAGCAAAGAGGCATGTATCTTACCTCAGCTGCCCATTCAGTGCTTTACCCGCAATGTGTACTAATTAAAGCTTTATTGAATTGAATTGATTAACCTGGTCCTTTCTTCCTTGTCCTGTTGCTAATAATTCTAGTGGCTAGAATCTAGCCTCTAAAGCAGTGGTTCTCAACCTTGGCTGCACATTAGAATCACCTGGGAATCTTTTTAAAATCCTGGGCCTCATCAAGAGTTTAAAAAGATTCCCAGGTGATTCTAATGTGCAGCCAAGGTTTGGAGGATGAAGCCCAGAAATCAGGATTTTAAAAAGATTCCCAGGTGATTCTAATGTGCAGCCAAGGTTGAGTACCACTGCTCTAAAGGAAAGGAAATGATTAAAGATGAATTTAGAAATTTAACAGGTTTTGTAGCTGTAGTCATAAATATCAAATATGTTATTTTGTGGAGAGCTAAATTACTTTGTAAATCTGGGCATGATATAATTTTCCCTTTTAAAGGTAGACACCAAAGATTCATACATTACTGGTAGGAATGGAAAATGGTACAGCCCTTCTAGAAAATAGTTTGGCAGTTTGTTATAAATCTAAATATGCAATTACCATAGCACCTAATAACTGTATTCTTGGTCATTTATTCCAGAGAATGGATATATGTTCACAAATATTCACAGAAGCTCATCCATAAGCAAAAAATTAGAAACAACCAAGATATCCTCCAATGAATAAATGCTTAAACCAACTGGTACATCCATATCATGGACTACTACTCAGCAATAAATGAACTATTAATACACACAACACACAACAACTTGGATACTATACAGAGGTGGGTTTTTTTTTAGTCAGCCTCTAACAGTTATATGTTGTATGATTCCATTCCAGTAACATTCTTAAAATGACAAAATTATAGAGATGAACAGATTAGTGGTTGTCAGAGTTTAGAAACTTGGGGGAAAGGAGTAGAGGGAGAGGAGGTGCTGAAGGGAGGTGGATATGGCTATAAAAGGGAAACTTAAGGAATCCTTGTGGTAATGGAACCATTCTATATCAATACATGTGATAAAATTGCATAGAACAGGGGTCCTCAAACTTTTTAAACAGGGGGCCAGTTCACTGTCCCTCAGACCGTTGGAGGGCCGGATTATAGTTTAAAAAAAAAAACTATGAACAAATTCCTATGCACACTGCACATATCTTATTTTGAAGTAAAAAAACAAAACGTGAACAAATACAATATTTGTACTTGCATGTGGCCTGCGGGCCGTAGTTTGAGGACCCCTGGCATAGAATTACACATACACACACTCATATGAGTGCATTTAATACTGTAAACATTGGATGAGTTGAGTGGACTGTACCAATGCCAATTTTCTGGTTTTGATTTTGTACTCTAGTTACACAGGATGTTACCATTGGGAGAAGCTGGGTGAAGGGTATGCAGGATCTCCTTGTGCATTTTTGCAACATCCTGTGGATCTATAATTATTTTTGAAAGTTTTTTCAAAGTAGCCACCAAAATCAAATGCATTTTTCACTAAAGCAAACTGCCCATCTCCTGGGGTGTTTCGAAAAGAATTAGCTGTTCTTTAAAAATACTAAGTTAGATCCAAATGCTCCCAACACCATCACAATCAGTCATTTCTCTGTAAGTCTCTTGTCCATACTTACCAGTAGGAGAGAGTATAGTTAGTGTCAGGACTTGTGTTCCTTCCCGGGAGCCAAGTGCACTTCATGTAGCTCAGGTTGTGCGAAACACATTGTAGCTCAGTCACAGCCGACTCAGGATCACCTAGAATACCGAGCCAAGAGTTTAGGACCTTCCTTTCCTTATAAGGCAGACTAGCCAATCACTCTGGGGCATGGGAATGGTAGGGGTGCTGCATGCTGCTTTACCCAAATCTAAAATGCTCACAACTTTCTCTCTCACCTCCCAATACTAAGAAAATACCTTTGCCGAAACCGGTTTGGCTCAGTGGATAGAGCGTTGGCCTGTGGACTGAAAGGTCCCGGGTTCAATTCCGGTCAAGGGCATGTACCTGGGTTGCGGGCACATCCCCGGTAGATGTGCAGGAGGCAGCTGATCGATGTTTCTCTCTCATCGATGTTTCTAACTGTCTATCTCTCTCCCTTCCTCTCTGTAAAAAATCAATAATATATATATATATATATATATATATATATATATATATATGTATATATATATGAAAAGAAAATACCTTTATTATCATTGCGGGGGCCCTCTTATATCCCTAACTGGAGAGTTGAAAGGTCAAATAATATTTTCGTAATAAGAAATGACTACAGAATTCCTAAATTAATGAGAAAATATAAACAACCTATCTACATTCTTTACTTTTTGAACAAAATTGCTTAATTTCATTATATAACTTACTTATCACACTTGAATCCAAAATTAAATGTTTACTTCTTATAAACAGTTTCATTTTTTTTTTTAAAAAAATGAGTTTCTCTGAAATTATTCAAAGGAATATATTATCTATTCTGAAGATAAATTCCAAAAAGGAGTATCAAAAATATATTTATCTTCGCAGCATCCATTAGAATATGTTTTATTGTCATGAATTTGTGTGTCATCCTTGTGCAGGAACCATGTTAATCTTCTCTGTATCATTCCCATTTTAGTACACGTGCTGCCAAAGCGAGCACTATCTATCTTTAAAAACAAACAAGTTTAGCTCAGCCGGCATGGTTCAGTGGTTGAGCATTGACCTATGAACCAGGAGGTGACGGTTCGATTCCGGGTTGTGGGCTTAAATCAATGATTCTCTCTCATTGATGTTTCTATCTCTCTTTCACTCTCCCTTCCCCTTTGAAATCAATAAAAATATATTTTAAAAAAAAACAAGTTTAGCCCTGGCTGGTGTGCCCCGGCTGGTTAGAGTGTTGGCCTATACACCAAAGGGACTCAGATTTGGTTCCTGGTCAAAGGCATACACCTGAGTTGCAGGTTTGATACCCAATCCCAGTTGGGGTGTATGTGGGAGGCAACAAACGATGTGCCTCTCTCACATCAATGTTCCTGTCTCTCTCTCTCCCCTCCCCCGTTCCCTCCCTGCCTTCCACTCTCTTTAAAAATCAATAATTGAAAAATATCCTTGGGTGAGGATTAACAAAAATAAAGTTTACTAGGTTATAATTTACCTCATCTTTTGATTAATACTGACACATCTTGTTTTAAAAACTAAACATTCTTCTTGAACAAATTCGGGGAAAGGTATGCATAACATAATTCTTAGTAGCTGCCTATTGTGTGTTATGACTTTAGGAGCTTTAAAATCTTTATGATCTTAAATTTCTCCTCTTAACATATTTTTTAGTTGAAGCATCAAGTCTTTATATTAAACTAGAGGCCCAGTGCATGAAATTCGTGCATGGGGGGGTGGGAATCAGCCCAGCCTGCACCCTCTCCAATCTGGGACCCCTCAGGGGATGTCTGACTGCCTCTCGCAATCTGGGACTGCTGGCTCCTAAATGCTTGCCTGCCTGCCTGCCTGACAGCCCCTAACCCCTCTGCCTGCCTGATCGCCCCTAACCACCTTTGCCTGCCTGACTGATCGCCTCTAACTGCTCCCCTGCTGGCCTAACTGCCCCTAACTGCCTCTGCCTCACCCCACACCCGGGACTCAGGGCTTCCCTCCCTCAGGCCATCCGCAGGCACCCAGGACCTGGGCCAGCTTCGCCCAGGCCGGCCACAGCTGCAGGGGACCACGGGCGGGCGGCTTCACCTGGGCGGAAGCCACAGGAGACCGTGGGCGGGTGGCTTGTCCCTTTCCTGGGCCACAGCTGCAGGCACAGCCACTGGCGCCCATGACCACAAAGCGGACAGCTTGTCCTTCTCCCGGGCTGCAGCCCCAGCCACTGGAGCCCGGGACCATGGAGTGGGTGGCTTGTCCCTCTCCCAGGCCACAGCCGCAGGCACAGCCACTGGCGCCCATGACCACAAAGCGGACAGCTTGTCCCTCTCCCGGGCTGCAGCCCCAGCTGCTGGAGCCTGGGACCATGGAGTGGGTGGCTTGTCCCTTTCCCAGGCCACAGATGCAGCCACTGACACCCGGGGCCACAGGGCAGAGGGCTCCCGGGTGGCAGCCTGGCTGGTCCCCATTCCTCTCTCCCCACCTCATTTGTGCCTTTCTGGTCCCCATTCCTCTTTCCGCAGTGTTGTGTCTTAGCAGTTCTGGCATGAGGGCATGATGACCATTTGCATATTAGCTCCTTATTACATAGAATATCTCTGTTTAAAATGCAAACCTCTTATCCCTCGGATTTCTTGAAGCGGTACTGTACTAAGCCATCATCAACCATTTTACCGCCAAAATACAATTTAAGTTTTCTTCAGATTATTTATTAAACTCCTAAAGAAATGAGAATATGGGAGGTAAGTTGTTTGAAACCATGTTCCCAGCCTCCTAGCAGTACCAAACTTTAATTTTATAAATATTGTTTCATATATTTTTTGTTAATCCTATCTCGAGGATATTTTTACATTGATTTTTAGAGTGCAAGGGAGGGGGAGAGACAGAAACATTGATGTGAGAGAGACACATCGATTGGCTGCCTCCCACATGCACCTGGACCAGGGCCAGGGCCAGAGTCTACAACTGAGGTATGTGCCCTTGACCCAGAATCAAACCCTGGACCCTTCAGTCCACAGGCCAATATTCTATGCACTGAGCCAATAGCTAGGGCTATTTCATACACTTTTGATCAGTGCAAGGCAGGTAGACAGCATGGTCTGGAGCAGTGGTCACCAACCGGTGGTCCACAGACCACTGGTAGTCCATGAGGTTTGAAAGGTTGGCGACCGCTAATCTGGAGAACATGCCATGCAGTGCTAATGTTTGGAGGTAATAGTTGTGCCCTGCACAGGCAAGGGGCAACATAACATTAATAGGTAATACGTACAGAGCATTTACTCTTTGCCAGGTACTAGTCTATGTGCCTCACATATACTGACTTAGGTAATCCTTTCAACAGTCCTGGTAAGTAGGTACTATCATCATCTCCATTTTACAGATGAGGAAACTTAATGAAGGAAGGGCTAAGTGATCTGCCTATGGTCACACAACCAGAAACGAGCAGAACTAAGTAGTAAACTTGGACATTTTGGCTCTAGCAGCTCTGCTCTTAAGCAGTATATACTAGTATGTACTCCCTGCCTGCAACATAAAGGCCAAAAGGATACTGGGTGATGGGTACGAAGGCAGGTGGGGGACAATCTGACTACTTGACAGCTTTTCCTAGGGCTAATCTGATTCTGGTGAAGGGCACCTGCCTGGATTACGGGCTTGATCCCCAGTGTTGGGAGTGCAGGAGGCAGCCTATCAATGATTCTCTCTCATCATTCATGTTTTGCTCTCTCTCTCTCTCCCTTTCCCTTCCTCTCTGAAATCAATAAAAATATATTTTAATAAAAGAAAAGTATGTGTGTAATTTTCCAAATTATTAAGTACTACATAACTCTTGAGCATTGTTATTCAAGGTGCTGGTGAGCACCTCAAAGGCAGGGACGTCCTCATATTGATCACTGTGTTGCTAGTACCTAGTAAAAGTGCTTGGAACTTATTTACATTCAGCAAATGTTTGTAACTGAATGAATTAATGGACACTGAACATAAGCATATGGATTATTTGGATTATTCTCTATATACCAAGAGAAACTGCTTTCAGTTGTTACCTTCAGGGGGTGAGGTGCACTTTTCCACCAAAATGCTAGGATTGTCACTTTCATTGGTGCTACACTGGGACCCCACTTGCAGACAAATCCTCTCGTTCAGGGCCACTTCTTTTGAACGATGAGTTTCTGGAGCAATTTTCTAAGGTTAGGAAATAAAAATAGGCATTGCTACAGCAAACATACAGAAATACACTTACATAATAAAACATTAGCATGCCCAGATGTATAAAAAAATGGAAAGTTGTCCAATGGTATAGATAAGTCATCTCGACTTGGGGTGATTTTCTCCAAACCCCTAACCCCGGGGGGCCTTTGGAATTGTCTAAGAACACTTTCAGTTGTCATGATTTGAAGGGACTTGCTACTGGCATTTAGTGGGTAGAGGCCAAGGATGCTGCTAAACATCCCACAATGCACTGGACAGCCTTCCCTTCCCCCTATAACAAGAATTATCCTGGGCCAAATGTCAGTGGTGTTGGCATTAAGAAACCCTGTTATAGATAAAAGACAATTTCCCATGTTTTAAATGTATAAACATTATGACATTTACCTATAAATCCTACCATACTAAAACATCAACTGTCTAAAAACAATTCTATGGAAAATGCAATAATATTATCAAAATTCCATTCCAAGCAGATGCAGTATGCCATCAAGATCAAGGTAAGGGATTACGGAAGATGGCGGCGATATAGGCAGACGCGTCCCAGGTCGTGTCCCAGAGCAAATGGAGTGAGCAGCTGAAACTAATAACACCCACCCAGAATTGGCGAAATTACTCAGCTGGTGAGACGGTTTGCAGCCGGGAAGGGCAGAACTCCCCTGGAAAGCAGACCCAAGCAACAGCAGCCTCCTGAGCACCACACCCTCTGTCTGAGGAACAGCAGCTGTACGTGAAGCCTCCCCCCACCAGCCAGAAGAGCCACCACAGCTGTGAACAGCACCCACCAGAGGAGCTGCTGCCAACTGAGGAGCAGCTGCTACCGCAACCGCCCAAGGAGCAACCACAGCCCAAGGAGCCACTGCCACCCAGGGAGCAGCCACTGAATGACTCAACGTCTAGATATGTCAGTGAGATCAAACATGGGTAGACAAAGAAACCCCCAAAGGAAAGAGAAGGAGGACTCTCCAGAAAAGCAGCTAAGTAATACAGAGGCATGCAACATGACAGAAAAAGAATTCAGAATAAGGGTCCTAGAGTGCATAAACCGGATGGAGGAAAAAATCTATAACTTCTGCAAGAAGCTAGAAGAAACAGATGAAAAAGTCAACTACCTATGCAAGAAACAAGAAGAAACAGATGAAAAAATCAATAACATATGGAAGAAGCCAGAAGAAACAGATGAAAAAATCAACAACTTAAGTAAGACCCAAGAAGAAATGAAGAGTGATATAGCTGCAATAAAAAACACCATTGAAAGTATCAACAGTAGACTAGGAGAAGCAGAGGACCGAATTAGTGAATTAGAAGACAAGGAAGCAAAACACACCCAAAATGTACTGCAATTGGAGAAAAAAATTAAAAGACAGGAGGAGAGCCTAAGGGAGCTTTGGGACAACATGAAATGAAACAACATACGAATAATAGGGGTGCCAGAACAACAGAAAGATGAACAAGGATTAGAAAACCTATTCGAAAAAATAATATCAGAAAACTTCCCTGAGGTGGGGAAGAAAAAAGTCACACAAGCCCAGAGAGTCCCAAACAAGGTGAACCCGAAAAGACCCACACCAAGACACATCATAATTACCATGGCAAATGTTCAGGACAAAGAGAGAATCTTACAGGCTGCAAGAGAGAGACGGAAAGTTACATACAAGGGGTCTCCCATTAGATTATCAAATGATTTCTCAACAGAAACACATCAGGCCAGAAAAGAATGGACGGAAATTTACAAAGTGATGCAAAGCAAAGGACTGAATCCAAGAATACTCTACCCAGCAAGGCTATCATTCAAACTTGAAGGGGAAA